ATTTCAATGGAAGAGCTTGACGTATTTCGGTAGTGACTGATCGAATAGGGGCACAGTGATGATTTGAAATTGTATTCAGCTGAGTAAATATATGAGCAATGGCTGGAACATAAAGCAGTACATTCAGTTTAGCTACTCAAAAAGCATCTGTTTACGAAGATTGAAATAATTACGATTAATTGATATGAGTTGTTGTTTACAGAGCGAATTTTGTGACAATTGGAGGTCGTACGTATGTTCGTCAAATGACCCAAAATATACCACAGGGCTATCGATCTGGACCAAGAGGTGAGCGTGGCGAATGGAATCTGTTTAATTCGGGTAGAGGGGATTTTAGAAATGATGCAGTTTTTGACTGAAAAGAAACGCAGTCAACTGAAGATATCATACAAGTTTACACGAGTTTTATCTCCTTCGCTGTGTTGAAACACTGAAGGATTCTCGCTTATTATTATTATTTCTATTTGTCTCTACGGTAATTATCGGTATAGATTAGTTCATTCTTGNGGCGGATTGACTCAACTGAAAAGGACAACTGTGAGACCAAGGTAAATTAATGGCTTGAAAGTAGTATTCGCTTCGGCGTGAACGTTTAAATATGCGTGATTGTTATCCTGTTGCTGGTGCTGCTTTCATGTAGATCGATGAGTAGTTAAGGTGAATGCATTTGTAATATGGGGGTTGTTTTTGATTCGAATGATGACGAATGATATCTGCGCTCAATTGGTTGTGTGATTTGTAAAACGATTAGATTCTATTCGATCAAATTACTGAGCAAAATAAAAGTTGTTTTGAATGTATCTCTCAAGAGCAACATTCAAAACATTTTTGCAGTATTTTTACAATTGTTTGCCAAGAATGTTTAATGTTTTAGGGTTGTATGTGCGTATTTTTGAGTGAGAATCGATCTCTAATTAGTAGGTTTATTGAATATTGAATCGTTTACAGCGCACTATCAGTGGGGAATCATCCGTCAGTTCGAATAGGAGTATTCTCGAATGCGGGATCACCCACCAAACAACAACAGCAGCAGCAGTACAACACCACAACAACAACATCAGTCGTCGGCAATCAATCGGCAGCAAATATTGTTGCGGATCCGATGCGTATTGCGAACGACAACGCACCTGCACCGTTCATCGTTCCGGCCAGAGGCAATAAACCGTCGTTTCGTGGTAAAGGTATTGCATTTCGTTTAATCACTTTT